GGAGAGAGGAGAGAGGAGAGAGGAGAGAGGAGAGAGGAGAGAGAGAGAGAGAGAGAACACAAAAGGAGGGAAGAAGAGAAAGGAGTGGAGGAGGAAAGAAAAGGAAAAAGAAGAAGGAATACTGGGTCTGCTATTCTTGACTTTTAAAATTCCCCACAAGGAGCTACTGCTGGAGTTTGTGGCCAGCTGTGATGTGGCCACCTGGACAGAGGGACAACAGCAGCAGCACCGGGAGCTGGGCCACTGCTGTTTGATTTATTTTAGCCTAACTGTACGGAAGGTGTCCACAAACACTGCACTGCAGGGACCTGGCGGACACCAGGCCACAGGTCTAGGGACAGCCACTTGAACACCAAGGCGCCACTCTGTGAGAGCAATAAGAACTTGCTAGCATCTTCCAAAAAAAAAAAAAAAAAAAATCCTACACTGTGTTGATCTCAGACTGTGGCTCCCGACGCACCTCTAAGCAAATGTCCCCTACCCAGAGGCCACAGCAGATGTTCCTGGCTTCTGCCATGTGGGTTGAAGCTGATTCCTCAATCTCCCCAAGATCCACTGCCACAGCCGGGAGACCACACAACAGCCACTGCCCAGCTCTCAGACGCACACAGTCACGAACGTGGGCTGTTTTTCTCTCCCTCTACACTGCCACCAACTCTTCCTTCCAGCTCTTGTACACAAAGCACCCCAGGTCACATCGACATTTTCTCCCAACAAGACAGCTTCCCCACGAATGCACAGCCCTCCCACCTCCAAACACTGCGCCATGTCAGCCTCGCCCCAGAAGCTCTCCCTGAACCCCTCCGTCCTCCCTCCCATGCACTCAGCCCAGCTTCGGTGGAAAATCAGCAGACTGCAGGTGGAGACTTGTGAGCCCTTAACCTCTCAGGGATGCTGCTTCCCCTGCTGTGAAGTAGGGAACATGCACTCTTGTCATAATCTTACAGTGCTGCTACAACCTAGGAGAGGAATGGCTTTGCAAATGAGTAAAGGGCTTTTGAGGCACAATGGCGCCCGCTGTTGCCATACTCTGGACTGGCTGGAGACAAATACGCTTAGTCCCACTACGATGGGTACTTCCTTCACTGGACACTTCTGTCAGATGTGTACTCCGTAGCCTGCCATACAGCCTGCCTTGGTAAAGCTTATGCCCTGGAACACTGACGATGTGACTTGGACATTCTAGTAGGTAGAGACAGTGAGGGGAAGGCACAGGGTGCTCAGGGTGGCGGCAGGGTGGGACAGCATCCCTGAGGATGACTGCTTGATTTGAACTACCATCAGCAGGTAAGGAGTGGGACACAGAGATCAAGGTCACAGAAAACAACACAGAAGACCAGAGGCCTCTGGAGGGACACAGCACAGTGGGCTTCAGAAACGGCAGGGCGTCCACTGAGACTGTAACCAGGCATTCCTTTGCTGTGTGTCTGCTGTGATGATGACTAGCTGCCATCATTAGATGTGGCCTCTCTAAGGGTGAAAGCCAGTTCTCTCTCTCGCTCTCTCGCTCTCTCGCTCTCTCGCTCTCTCGCTCTCTCGCTCTCTCGCTCTCTCGCTCTCGCTCTCGCTCTCTCTCCTCCCCTTCCCTTCCCCTTTCCCTCCCCCATCTCTTTCCCTCTCCCCCCCTCCTCTCTCCCTGCCTCTCTTTCTCTCTTCCCTAGGTTTAGAACAACACTCTGCAGCTATTGCCAATTTCTCCACGCACTTGTCCTGGACCCACTGGCCAGACCGCAACATCCACACTTGCTCTGCACTGAAACAAAGGTGGTCAGCAGTGAGAAGATGGAGAGCTGATCACCAGCCGGAGCCAGGGGAGGTAGCATGCGGACCATGAAGTCAGAGGGGAAGGGCAGAACTGGCTTGGAATCATGAAAAATGTTCCTGGCATTTATCTGAGGCCACCAGGCTGGGCCCCAGGAGAGATGAGCGCCTGGTACAAACCACGTGAGCTGTGGCTTTAAAGCAAAACAGCTGAGTGCTGGAGCCGTAACACATTTAGAGCCGAGAGGCCTTGCAGGGGAGTGTCCACAGAGGAATCAAGTGGGCAAAGAGACTGTGCATGGCTTTCAGGTCAGCGTTTACATGGCTTCCGGGGAAACGCAGCCTTCTCTCCTCCACTAGGTTCTCCCTGACATTTGGAAGCACAGGGCCCATTGTGCAGAGCCCTGTTCAGGCTGCGGCTGAGGTCTATGCGCTGCAACCTTCCAGAAGCGAGTTTGCAAGGAGCTGGGCTGCTCAGCATGGAGAGGAGGTGGGAGTAGGTGGCAGCTGCGCAGTGGGGACGCAGCCCGAAGGCCACCAGAGGCCAGTGCTGGTCAAAGCTGGAGGAAAGTACTCTAATTTATGACAAGCAGGAGGCCGGGGAGGGCTCAGATGAGGATCCTGTCCATACACATGGTTGACTTCACATGCACATCCACATCTTAGACCTCTCAGACACTGAGTAAAGCCCTTTTATTTCTTTTTACCTAAACCCTAGGCAAAGCAGGTGAGGACACAGTGACCCCTGGGCCCAGGCATTCCTGGCAATACCCAGGACCAGCCCCTCAGCACTCTAGGGGTGAAGTCTAAGAGACAGGAG